CATTCAACATCACAAGCCATCCCACGCGCTCTTATAAAATTATGGCACTATGAAAATAAATGCACCTTCATACTTTCTGAGGTGTTAAATCGATTGTCTCCTTATACATATAAAAGAATATACTGCAACCTTCCCATATAAGCAACGAGAGGATTTATGTTCCAGTATTGAAGGAAAAAAAATAAGGTTTAAGAATATAAGTTCGTCTTTGTTTAGGTCGGTTATCAATTGATTTTTGTTTTGTTCAGAGAAATGGAATTGGTTATCCCTTCTATATCTGTGGTTGAACGTATTTAACCTCAATTTCAAACATTATGTTTTGGAACTATCCAATCAAAGTACTCACAGCATCGAGCCAGAGCAGAGAAAACTTCTGATCACATAAGGATAGACGTATGTCAAAAACGCATTTATATTCTATATCTATCCTTCAATAATAGGACAAGAATTCATACGGTACCCGCATATATTCTTCTATATGTATATGATTGTTTCCACTTATCAAATGTCGTTAGACTTTTGACAGCTAAACAATCACACATGATATTTATTCATGTGTCAAAATTGTACAAGGTATATGTGCTTAATTAGCGTATATTGTAAGTGACGTAGATACCCTCAATAAAATAATCTCGTCCAAATTTTACTTTGAATACGTACATTTTGTGAGATTTAATCAAAAATAGATAGATAAGATAAAGTTTGATTGTTCGTGTAGTGAAACTATCTTCCATTCTGGTAAAAGTCATATATTTTTTGTGGAAAATGCCAAATAATGAAAAAAAAAATGCGTCGCAGTGGTATATGAAATAAGATTTTTTTGTTAATAGTGCTTAAATTTCTTTCAATGTTTAGGAAAAAATCATTGAAGATACATTTAAATATGTACTTATGTTGATTTTTTTAAATGACGACTATTATTATTGTAAACTATATCAAACTAGATCTGATATTGTTCCCTGTAGTTATTTATTGCTGTAAGTTTCATATCAACTGACCTACCCCCTTCAAAAAACTGCCTTTCAGATTTTGATAAGGGTTTGTGATCTAAAAAAAATTAAACAATAAATTGGAAAACAGGTACAGATTTATTAAATAACATTTTGCGAGAAAAATCGACTGTTTTTAAAAATGAAGATGTGGAATGTAAAGAAAATTATCTAGAAACCTGTATTTTAGTTCATTAAAAATGCACATGCCAATGCAAAATAGCTGAAAAAAACTCACAGATGTGTTTCTGGGGTCGAAATATACTATCCCTAAAAATATTTGCACTTATTTAAGACTCACCCTGTATATTTATTTGCTTCGGATGGCTAATATGGAGCGATCGACAATTATTGAAATAGTTGGCAATACCTACTGTATTAGAAGATTGTATGATTAGTGACTGGGTACTGATGCCTAATTACTATGCATTTTATTTTATTACTATACAAAATTTATACCGAATGCAAAACCTAACCTCTATTTTGTATGTATTTTAAGATACTTATTCAATAATTAAATTAGAAAACCTTCAGATATTATATATTTATTTGTCACTTTGTTTTGATTTTAGTCTCATTATTATTGAAAAATCCGTCCGGCTTGTATCAAGCCATTAAGAACAGTTTCTTAAATAAAAAAGAAATCTCGAGAGCAGTGAAGATGAGTGTATACAAGACAGTATTCATACCGACCTTTGAATAAGAAGACTAAGGAAGGAGCATATCAAAAATCTTAGGTACACCGCGATGGGCCTCAAATATGGCCGACTTAAATTCCGGTTTATCAGTGTCGTTCTAATTTTATTTAAAAAATTGAAAACTATGATGTAGGGTAGACGTGGGGTAGACTTAATAATTTGTTGTTTTATTTACGTTGTGAATAAATGTTGGTAGTTATTAAAATTGTTATAAAAATATATAATTCTAATAAAAATAGATAAGTTATAATAAGTATTTATTAACACAAACATCCGATACGCTACTGAAGCAGGTAAGTCAAATTAACATATCTAAATTCTTTGACATCTAATCTTTGACAAGTAATAAATAAAAGCTAAAAATGCAAGAAAAATATATAATTTAGTTAATTTAAGTGACAAAAATAAATGGAAACAATTTGTGTATAGTGTAGCAATTAAGTGAATTTATTTAATTTAGTATACCTTACACCTTCGGGTAGAAAGGTTTTTGATTATATATATATATATATATATATATATATATATATATATATATATATATATATATATATATATATATATATATATATATATATATATATATATATATATATATATATTATTGAAAAATAATTTAAATATCATTAAAAAACAAATCACATCATTTACTTTTTGGTTTGTTTTCACGCTGGTGATACCAGAGTTACCGACTCTCCAATATCCCCTAGATACGTATATTAAAAACCGCCAGAAACCTTTAGAGACAATATTGAAACTAAAATTTTGTTTTTTCGCCTATTTTGAACCTTTAATAATGATAATTACGCGAATATCGTTGCAAACTTTGAAAAAAAATCGTTGTTTAGAATTTAAATAATATTTGTAAAAATTTTATTTATTTATTAAACTAAAAAAACACTAAATCTAGCGGAAACACTGCTAAGTTGGCAACTATGAGTGATACCAGCTAATAATTATTTGAATTTTCTAAGCTTTATTCAGAACCTCGCAATTAGTGGAATAAATTAGTGGTTTCAATTAGCGTAGAAGTTTGTTCTCTATGGATACAACTGACTAACGCAAGCTGTTGCTAGGACGTTCCATTAATTTTAATTGTATTTTTTAAATATTATGAACTATCGTAAACTAAAAAGTATAAAGTGTAATTGAAACCACTAATTTATTCCAATAATTGCGAGGTTCTGAATGAAGCTTTAAACTGACTGCCAACTAAATGAGCAAAATCAAAATAGTCAACTATTTAAATCAGTTTCCTGGCAAAAATTAATATTCACAATGATATAAACTAGCGATGGGAACTATCGAATGAATTAGACTATCGAATGGTTACTGAATGAATGATTTCAACTATCGAATGGTTTCATTCGAATAAAATCATTCATTCATTTGTATACTAAAGCATATGTGACAACCTCGCCGTGCGACTAAATGGTTATCGTTAAGCCACGACTATCGAATGCTTTAGATAAATGAAATTTAGTATTCGTTTGATTTTTGTCTGCGTCGGTGCATTATTAGTTCTTCCAAATTTTTATAACTTGCCTTCTAAATACTGTGCTATTTTTGCGTTTATTAAAATATTTAAAATACTAAAGTAGTAGTGTTTTTTTTTTTAAATTGACGATTGTGTACGTGTGCAGGTGGTCAAAATTTTTCCGAAAATTTGTGTGATTTTCCGATCTTTCAATTATTTAATTTTATACGGTATATGGTTTATTTTTTTAATGGGAAATTTTGAGAAGTAACAATTTTTAAGAGAGATGAGGTGAACTTACAATTAATTTTAAAAATACATATGTATTTGTATTTTAGATGTTTTAGTAATATGAATTAGTTGAACTTAATAATCATATTTAAGTAATGTGGTAATGTGGTTAAGTAAATGGTTATCGAACTCAAATTTTGGGATGAGAAAATTAAATTGATTAATTAAAGTTTTACACGTGCCAATTTAAAAAAAAAGTTAACGATATTTGTATTTTGTTTATGCTAATTCTCATACATGTAGATTTTTGCGAAGAAATATTTCATTTATTTTTTAAAGTAAATGCCAGTAAAACCAAATATTATTTTTAAATACTAATACAAAGTAATAAAAAGTAATAAACGTATATAATTTTGATTTCTAATTTTTTATTTATATTTTTCTTCTATTACACTGCATGCTTAGAAAATTAATAAAAGTTTATATTTCATGATGTTAAAATTTGTTGTTCATATAACAAATTAGTTCTGTAATTATTATTATTTAATAAACCAACGTTGCCAAAAAATTTAGAGACTATATTATTTTTAAATAGGATCTAATATAAATAATTTTGACTTCTAATTTGTTGTTTATATTTTGCTACTACTTAAAAAAATGTTTATATTAAATGATTTTCAATTTTGGTGTTAATAGGTATAACAAATTGTTACTGTTATTATTATTTATTAAACCAGTTTTGCCTAAAAACTTTAAAAATCATTTTCCTACATCCAAAATAAAAAGTATTATTGCAGTGTAACAACAGAATATTAATAAAAAAAAATGCAAAATATATAGTCATACCACAGGTCATACTATCCCTAACTAACTATAATACCAAAGAATAATATTCTTTGCTAATACCAACTAATACGAATATACGGCAACAGCGCCGTTCATAATGTATTTTCTGTGTAAATACTAGCACCTCAATAAAAAAAACAATGTGTCCTTATCTTTATCTGACTCAAAATCAAAGATGCCGGCTTTTTTCATACCATTGCCACCGACCGCCGATCGCTGTCGGGTTTCTAGGAAAGAAACCTACGTCGCCGGGCGACAACTAAAATCCAGTTTATATTTTATTATAATCGATCCTGACGAATAAATGAATTTTACAAATGAATGAATTTTATAAATGAGTGGTTTTTTCTGCCGAATTAATATATTTCAAGGCAGATGACGCATCTATTCGATATTTTTATTCGAATAGTTTTCGACGAATGTTTTCTTATTAGCTATCGAATTATTCGAATGAATTGCAACTATCGAATGTTTCGATAGTATTCATTCGATAGTTCCCACTACTAATATAAACTCCACTTAATGAATATATACTCTGGCAACACTGGATCAAAATTTAACCCACCACGCATGCGCATCACTTATCCGACCGAAAAACGCAGGTTCGCCAAAGACAATCCATCCATTTTCGATTAAATCTCACAACAATAACTATTATTATAACAAACGTCAAGTACAAGACCTGACAACACACACATCCTCCGTCTGTATATGTTCACTTAAAAATAACACAATAATAAAATAATTTTAACAACATACTGGTAAGGCGCGAAGGTGCGAACGTTATTGCTCCTCCCCTTCGCTTTTGTTCGGTTGGTTCTGATTGGCGGCGCATCGCTTGGCCGAGCACCCGGCCGCGGCCGGCTTGGGCGAGGGAGGCGGGGGGGGGCTGTGAGGCTCCTCCTCTTTCGATTGGGCGTCGCTGAACACGAGGATCTTGTCCTCGTCCTCGTCCTCGCTGTCTCTCGGCTCCTCCGAGTCGTCCGTCTCGTGGCCGATCTTGTGCTCCGCCACGTAGTTTTTACACTTTTCGATCACTTTGTCGTAACTGTCGCCGTGCAGGAATACCACCAGTACCTGTAAAAAGAACAAATAGTGATAACTTTCATACAAAACAGCGAAATTTTATTCCTCTAATTTAATAATGAGCATTCAGAACGTCAAAATTAATGGTAGTAATTTTTAAGCTTCATTCAGAACCTCGAAATCAGTGGAATAAATTAGTAGTTTCAATTAGCCGTAGAAGTTTGTTCACCTAATTTTAATGTAAGCATTCAGAACGGCAACTATAGTCCGTAAAACGAATAACTTTGAATTTGACAGTTCCCGCGGACTTTTCTAGTGTTAATTTTATTAGGTTAGCAACTTGCGGCCATGCTGACGCAATGCCGTTTCTAATAGAACAGCCTCAGAGCGAGATTTATGACGTCACGCTAGTTAGATACTACGGATTAATAAATATGTTGTAGAATACATGGAAAACAATACAATATATATACCTATTTATAGTAATAAATACTTTGGCAAATAAACTATGAACCATACAAATGCAGCAAATGTTTTAAAATATGGCTGAAATCGTACTCCATAGTCAGTGTAGAAAGTTTTTGTGTTAAGAATAATAATTTAAAAAAATATGTGGTCATCTTTTGACAAGTTTATATTAGTTTATTAATTGCAGTAAACATTATAATATATAAATAAATGTTGTGATTGCAAATAATAATACATTACTATTAGTAGATATTGAATGTTTTTTTGTTAAATTAGATCGATTTTCAAACCCCAAAATTTAAAATATATTTTACATGTTACGCATTATCTTATGTACCACATTATTTGTATATTGTAAAACATTTGCTGCATTTGTATGGTTCATAGTTTATTTGCCAAAGTATTTATTACTATAAATAGGTATATATTATCTTCTTAATCTAAGTATATTATATTGTATTTATTAACTGTATATTATGTATATTTCATGTAAACTATATCATTTTTAAAATACAAACCAAAAAATACGAGGAATAATTATGTTTTCCATGTATTCTACAACATATTTATTAATCCGTAGTATCTAACTAGCGTGACGTCATAAATCTCGCTCCGTGGCTGTTCTATTAGAGACGGCATTGTCTAATATTTAGAAGTGTCAAAAGCTGATGACATTTTACTTTTGTCAATTATGACATTTCGTGTTGATTTTTGCAAGAAGAGGAAGAACTGTCACTTGTTTTATTATTTTCCTTTTCTATTTCATGAAAGTAAAAAGAGTTACCTATTTGATTCGTTCAGGCACTCAATTTAAAGAATATCAGTAACTTTTTTGACAGAGGGATTTTATATTTGACATGTTGGTAAAAAATAACGGTCAAAATTCAGAGTTATTCATTTTATAGACTATACCATTAGTGATAGTAATTTTCAATTAGTGGAAAAAGTTAATAAACCTTTGACTGTTCCACTAATTATTCTTCAAAATTTAAGAGGAATGTCATTTTGGCTTTTGATTATCACCCCAGGGGCGGGAAAGTGAAATAGCAAAAGCGGTTCCACCGTTTCCATGGAAATTTCAAATAAAATAGTTCCAGCCTCAGGCGCTAGGTGGTAGTGCAATTAATTTTTAGGTTAAGAAGTTGCTACTCGTTATTGCCAGATGGCGTTAAATCAGAATTTTTTGTAGTTTCCATAGTTTCCAACGGCCATTGTCATACTATTGTCAAATTCTCAAAAAATATTGTCGTTGTCATAGCGCCAATCATAATATTATCAAATGATTATGAAAACGTTTTTCAAACTATAATTTGTTACATGTGTTTTAATTAGACAATTCCTTTTGTTTGTGGCCCTAAAAATATAATGTAAGTCTTTTATTTTTGCCATCATTTAAGTACCTATTTATATTTACTCCATTTACAAAACTTTGGGCGTATTACGTTGGTCTTGTTTTATTATAATAAACGATGTTTAAATATTTGACTTATAAATAAAAACTTTAAATAATAAATAATATTTCACATGTTTGGCTTTAATTTTATTTAATAATTGTATAAATTATACTGTTAAATCTTATTTTTTTACACATTACAACGATACTTGTTATTAGTATTGTTGAATTTGTGTAAAAATAAGATTTAATAATCAAATTTAATTATTTTAAAGTAAAATTCAATAAATAGACTCATTTAAAAAGCCCGCGCTTCGATCCATTTAAAACAAGCCCTACTCAATAGATGGCGCCACTTCTGTAGGACCATTTTTCATTATGGCAGAGTCCATTCTTTTTCTAGCTAGGTATAGTCTTTGTATCACCCGTCAAGAAAAACTTTGGTTAGAAATCAAAAGTATATTGTTTTATAAGCTAAATATTATGCTCTCTCTATGGATACAACAGACTACCGCAAGCTGTTGCTAGGATATTTTATTAATTTTAATTGTGTTTTTTAGACATTGTGAATGATCGTAAACTAAAAAGTATAAAGTGTAATTGAAACCATTAATTTATTCCACTAATAGGAGGTTCTGAATGAAGCTTTAATTTGTAGTAGTGGTGAGCAAAATCGTTATTTTAAAATAACAGTTGAAACTGTTACTGTTATTTATATATAACAGCTTAAAATAACAGGTTTCTGTTATTTTTTGACTTTAATGTGATCATCTAAAAGAACATACGTATTGTCCAAATTGTAGCGAAATCATAAAAATCTTCATATTTATTTCTTAATAAAAAATAATGTACTTAAAATATAAAATTTATAAACAAATCAAACTCTGTTTTAATTTTTCTAATATATTTATTATATTATTAATAATTAAGAAAATAATTAATAAAAAAAAATAATATTAATAATATTAAAAAAATGATTAGCTTAGGGCTCAAACACACTGACGACCAGGTCGCACCGGCCAGGCCGCAGCTACCTCTAAAACCATTAAATCAAATGATACAGGGCACACTAACGTCCTGGCCGTCCGTTGGTCGTTGCGACCAGAAGACTGCACGGAAATATTATTATTTTCTGCCGCTTGTTGCCGGTTTTCTTCCAAATTAATATTTTTTCAGATGAAATCCCTCAAATTCAAGGCACAATATTTTATTTTCTATAAGATATAGTGTTTTAGTGTAGTTTTTGCACACGTGCAGAAAATCCAAAGAAATAGTATACAGACTGGATCAAAGGTAAACTTAAATCTAATCCCTTTTTTATCAAGGGTCGATTCTAGTAAAAACTCAAAACATTTTTATATGACATACCTACTCTATTTATGGTTGGTATGATACCCGTTATTATACCTTTGAGTTTCGATGTTAAAAAATAAAAAAAAAATAATATTTAAAGTTTTTCTACAACCACTTGTTTTTTTTACTAAATTAGTTTTTTTAGTTGTATTGTAGTCATGTACAAGGAGGACAACTGTATTTTAAATATTATATTTAATTTAACGTTTTTCAAACAGGTTCATTAGACTATATTTCTACTAGGTACATTATTTTGAAAAAAAAAATTAAGAAAGTAACTTAAACATTCATAAAAATAAAAGTAATTACTGTTGTAGATTCTTCGTTATATTGTAAACATTGAAATAACTGGAAGCTAAACTTTCTACCTGCTTATACTTAGAGCCAGTGTCTGACGATCTTTTTTTACGATGGCCCTAATGTGTTTACTTCTAAAGTCGATAATCAGCCGATAATCAGCCAGAAAAGCGCCATATCAGTAGAAAAAAGAAACAGAATATCTCCCTTTTTGTCGGTCGCGCGTACACAATGCTTTTTGTTTGTTGTGAATAGTAACTTCGCTTTTTAGTTAACTCGGATATTTTAACATTTCTGAAACAATATTTTCTAATTGGTAAAACGTAAAAAATCGTTAGATTTGACAACTCTGTTGAAACTGGCCGTTCATCTGGCCGCAGCTAAAACCGCAATACATCCGGCCAGCCGACGCGACGGCCAGGTCGTTGCGACCTGGTCGTCAGTGAGTTCGAGCCCTTAAACAATATTTCTTTATTTAAGTAGTTGAAAAGCACTTAATATTTCTAATCACCAGAATTCTAATTCATTTTATCACTAAATTTCTAATCACGATTCACAATTTCTTGATACCGTTGAAAATATTAATAAAATCAACTAAGTAACTCAAACTTAATAACTAAGTACTAAAACTTACAAAGCAAAAACTTTAAAATGTAAATAAATATTTAAAAATGAGTTTTCAGAAAGCAAAATAGTAAAATAAACTTGCTCAAAACGATTCTATTAACAGAAGCTTAATCAAGACAATTTTCTTTAATTCAGTTATAATTAATAATTATTTTTACCATTCATTATTGATGCCAAAAAATACCCAGAAATCCGACAAAATAAAATGACTTTCAAACTATTGAAATAAATTGAAACTGTCGATATGTTTTAGAAAACGCAAAATACCCTTTTGTTATATTTTTGCAAATATAATAATAATAGCTCCCGTATATAGCGTTTAACGCCTTGGGAGTAGCAAGGTACAGCTTGCTATACTAGAGCCGTTCGGTATACAAGGAAGGTAATGTGGCTAGCACTCTACGCTTCAACCGCCTATTATTACCTCAGGATGGTGAATCCCAAGTACTCATTTAAGGCTGAGTCGACCTTTTTCCAAATATTTGTATTAAAAATTAAATAATTAAATTCTAACGCCACCGTACACCGCGATCGACCGACACAGGCGAAAAAGCTATATTTTCCAACTCCGCTTATCTCAACCGCCGCCCGTTATGCTCGTAACAGGTTAAAAATCAATGTATCTAAAATAACCGCTTATTTTCTATACGTTATTCCTCAACCTGTTGCGAGCCCAACATCGACAATCGACCGATGCAGCAGCGTTACTTTCCCACTCCGGTTATCCCGACCGCCGCGCTTTATGCTCGCAACTGGTTAAAAAAAGCTGCTTATTTTATAGTCTGTCCAACGAGAAGATCCTTGACAGTGATAGATGTGTCTGTCATTTTAATTTCAAAGTAGTTTATTTTATTTTACAAAGAAATAAGTTGGTACAACTGGAACGCATAGCAGGAAATATTTAAAATTTGATTGACAAGATGACAAGTGATTACTTCAAAATATTGTGACTTTTAATAAACAAAATCCATTAAATTTTATCGAAGATAGTCGAAGGTACTAAAAATAAGCCGAATATTTCAAATTCCAATGCTAATAATAAGGAATCATTGCTTAGAACAGAAAAATAATTTGTTTTTGGTCAGTACATTGAGATTTTTGAGTACAGCAGATTAACTTTATTTTTTCTGCGTTTATTAAATATTTAGTTAGAGTGCCTAACTATAGATTGTAGTTATACAGTTATGTATTTTATTCCGCCGGTTTTACGTAATTGCTGGTAACAAAATTTTAAAATTTTTTATTTGATATGTATTATTATATGATAAACTAGCGTGTACCAGCGACTTCGTTCGCGTCGAATTAATCATTTGTAATGGTGATGATAAAGCAAAGCAAGAATTTCCATTAACATACAAACTGGATAAAATTTTCTCACATTTATGTCAGCATGAGAAAAAACAATATGGCGATATTATTATATAACTTGGTAATATTTGAGGGCTGGTTTCATCTCGTTGGAATTTGACTTTCGACCAAACAGACCAACGTCCAAACCAAACCAAATCCGTTTGCCAAAAATAAGCTTTTTACGTCAAGCAGTTTCAGCAGAATCGTGGTTAAGAAATTACCCAACTTTTTGGAACACCCTGTATAATTTTTTAAAAAATTTCAAAATATGTAAAAAAACCAAATAAATTATGCTTGTCCAAGCGTTTTCCCGAAAGACTAACCGTTTTCTAAATAACAAATATTGTAATATTTGAGGGGCGTTTTCACCCTCTTGTAATTTGATATTCGAGAAAACCCTCCTTATAGAACCTCTACACCTCACAGTCAATCCGTTTGCCAAAAATCAGCTTTAAACGTCAAGCAGTTTAAGCAGAATCGTGATTACTTAATGGTCATATTTTATGAAACACCATGTATAAATTTATAAAAAATCTTAAAAATATGTAAAACAACAAAATAAAATATACGTGTTTAAGAGTTTTTCCGAAAAACTCACCGGTTTTTAAATAAAAATATTTTAATATTTGAGGGATAGTTTCACCCCCTTAGAATTCGAGTTTCGAAAAATCCCTTCTTATCGAACCTCTACACCCTAAAGTCAATCTGTTTTCCAAAAATCAGCTTTTTACGTCCAGCGCTTTAAGCAGGATCGTGATTAATTAATGACCAGATTTTTCGAAACACCCTGATTACATTTTTAAAAAATCTTAAAATATGTAAAAAACAAAATAAAATATACGTGTTTCAGTGTTTTTTCGGAAACTTGACCGTTTTTTAAATAAAAAATATTGTAATATTTGAGGGGTGGTTTCACCCTCTTGGAACTGGAATTTCGAAAAATCCCTTATCGAACCTCTACACCCTAGAATCAACCTGTATGCCAAAATTAAGCTTTTTACGTTGAGTGGTTTGAGCAGGATCGTGATGAATCAGTATGTCAGTCACAGGATTTTATATATTAGTATATATAAATATTTTTATTTAAATAAATAAAGCGACCGTACTGGCTGGGGATCGAACCCAGTACCTTCCGCTCCGCAGATCGACACACTAACGCTGGAGCTACGGCCGGCCACATTATACTCCTTCCTTAATATTTTTACTCAAAATTCTAGCCCAGTCCTACTTACAACTGTCATGTTATCACAGCCCAAGCCCGCCAGATGACAATCGGGAGCCAGACACTTCATCATCAGGTTCTCGCATATGAGTTCCGATTCCAGTCCGTTGGCGATATTCTCGGTGACATAATACATAACGTCCTCGTCCGACATCACGTCCCAGATTCCGTCGCAGGCCAGTATCAAAAAGTCCCAGTCCTGAGTGATTTTCCTCTCCACTATGTCCGGTACAGCTGTAACATTAATGCTAGAGTGCAACAGACTGTATCAAATAGAAAGCAGCGCAATCATTTCGACCACAAGGCCGACCAATTTTAGGTTATGTCCTTATACTTCCCTACTTTAAATCTTTATTTTATTAATGGCAATTGAACAATATGGATTTTTTCTGTATGGCGTAGTGACGTCACAGGTGATATGCGCGAACCTTTGAATAAGAAGACTAAGGAGCATGTCAAAAATCTTAGGTCCACCGCGATGGGCCTCAAATATATGGCCGACTTAAATTTCAGTTTATCAGTGCCGTTCTAATTTTATTTAAAAAATGTAAAACTATGATGTAGGGTAGACGTGGGGTAGACTCAATAATATGTTGTTTTATTTCACGTTGTGAATAAATGTTGGTGTTATTAAAGTTGTTACAAAAATATATAATTCTAATAAAAATAGATAATTTATAATAATTATTTATTAACACAAACATCCGATACGCTACTGAAGCAGGTAAATCAAATTGACGTATCTAAATTCTTTGATATATAATCTTTGACAAGTAGTAAATAAAAGCAAAAATGCAAGAAAAAATATATAATTAGTTAATTTAAGTGAAATTCATAAATGATCCGTTTACTACACGTATGTATATTATATAGTCACTTACCTAGCGAAAAGTTGTCCCATTATTTCACTCGATTTTTGCCGAGATCTACCGCACTCTACACAACCAACTATTTGAGAGTCTTTTTCGATAAATCGCGATAGTATCACTATAATTTAAGTTCTGCCACAATTTCCATCTAGATATACTACCTTTATATCAGTACTAGAATAAATAATAAATAACATAAAATAAGCTCCGTAAAGAGTGATAAATCAACAAAATTTCAAATCAAATTCAAATGTGTCAAATAAATCGTCAAACCGAACTGTCAAGGATCCCCACCCTAGAGTCCTTTTTCCGCCCATGCATGAATACATGGATATCATTATGCTCCTTCCTTAGTCTTCTTATTCAAAGGCGCGAACTGAACGAAACTGGAGCCGCTATCGATCATACCTTGTTCTCTTTGTATCATGCTTTTTTCTCGTTAGATCGTGCTTCACGGCCGTCATTCAAGGCCGTGACGTCACGGCCTTGTGGTGTAATGTTTTACTTTGCAATTAAAAGCTTGTAAAGAAATGATGAACTAACCTATAACAATTTGTTTCTCGTCTCCTTTAAAACTGTTGGCTTTGAAAACGTAATCGCCAAAAGCTCTGGACAGGGCCAAGTTTCCGTTGACCCTGTTGCAATCGACCCATCCGCCCGCCTCGGCGATACGTTTGGACTCTTCTATATTATTCGGTTTGTGGTCCCAAGATAGTTTTTCTAGCTTATTATTTACACTGGCGATTGCTCTAAAACAAAAATGCATAAGATATTTATTAATGTTTATACCCTTGCTACGAGTTCATTAGAGTAAAAATATCAACCAAATCGATTCTTTCAATCCGATTTTATTCTACATTCTATATCCTAGAGATTGGCCTCGATAAAATTATTATCAATTGTCATTCCCCAGTAATTTGACGTAGTTTTTTTTTCATTAGGATACAACTTTAACAATAACCAAAGAAAAATATCATAAAACAGAACCTAACCTAACTTTTACATAGAATTAGTAATGAAAATCGACTATCGAAAAATCGATTGTTATTGAAAACTACCGATATCTTTCGACAGTCAAAACTATCGATCGTTTTTCATAGTATTCTATAGATACATATACATAGTTTACTAAGATAGTTCTCCACCACTACCCTGTACTTTATTATATCGCATAACAAACCTTGAATCTCCTATATTCGCACAATACAGTATGTTGTCCTTGATGATGACTGTGACGGCGGTGGATCCCGAATGCTCACCTTTTAAATATTCGTCTCCTATCATAGCGTTATCAAGTTCCAAAAATGCTTGTTTCAATGCCTCTGTAATATTTCCCTCCCTGTGCGAATAACAAATAATTATCAAATGTCATAATTAGACATAATTATAAATTATAAATAAAATAACTAAAAAATACGACTCAACACAAAAATATAACAGTATATCGTTGGTTGAAAGAATTGGGAAGATACGCAACCTAATGGGCGAATTCGTGACAAGGCTGATTTGGTTTCCCCTTACGTCTCATGTGCTGTACGGTGGAGACACCAATCGTTCTGCGGTCAACGCATAAAAAACTTTTTTCTCTAATTCGGCTAACGAAGGCATATTGAAAACGGTGTGGATCTGAAAGCGACAGTGTTGCCATTTTACAATGTGCAATATCTGTAATGGGTTTGACAAAAATAACATTAGTTGAAAAATCCGCGTTTATGTATTGAAAATGTATTCGTGTTAAACAAAGAATAAAGAAAAAAAAATAAAAATTCTTTTATAGGTACTAAATATGTCGTATCACAGATTAGGTATACTATATGTATACAGATAGAAATCTTATCCCTAATTCGTGGTACGAAAATTGTTTTTTATGACGATGAGCAAACGAGTAAAATTTCCTGTGCGCAAAAATAAACTCGCGTAAAATAACAATAAACAGCGTAATAGAGATATTAATTTCTATGATTTCTTACTATTTTAATGTATTAATAATTAACTGTATTTTATTTTACTTTTTTTTTGGAAATAAAGGCATTATTATTATATCGGTAAACCGAATAGCGTGCATGGACGTTAATAAGGCCAGGTGTTATTTCCTTTACGTGAGGTGGTATTAACTCTCTTCATTTATAGTTATCGGATCGGAAAGAGTTCTGTTCGCGTCGCGTCCGCTATTTAAACTTAACCTAACTTTGAATTTAAAACTTTGAAATTGTTGTGTTTACTAGGTATTTTAAAACTAAATGGCTAAAGTGCTTATTTCCAGTGCTTTATTGTTCAACGTCTGCCAATGTGTTTAGGGCAACAAATTCTCTTAGAAGGGCTAAGTCGTCATCTGCTGTAAACCTAAGCCTCTATATAGGTTCTTTATTATTGGAAGTCAGGTGCCCGGTGGCGTAGAGGTACAGGATCTCGTCTACCAATCTCAAGGTGTGGGTTCGATTCCCACACCCGGCATTTCATCAACCGACTATTTTTATTAAAATAAAAATAGTTTGGGTACCTAGGTCGACTCAGCCTTAAATGAGTACTTGGGATTCACAATCCTGAGGTAATAATAGGCGGTTAAAGCTTAGTGCTAGCCACATTACCAAGGCGTTAAACGCTATATACGGGAGCTATTATTATTATATATTATTGGAAGAGGTGGAATCCATATTTTGGGCCATATTTATTTAATTAAAACTAATCCCAGCTATTTAAATATCAAATTACCTAATAAAACTAAAGTAATAATTCAAAACAATTCAAACATAACGTAAAATAAAAGATCTCGCCGGCCGGCCCCGGTTGTCAAATACCCGCAAATGCCCATTTAAGCAATTTTTAAACGTTATTTAGAAATAGTGCTTGGTGTAATTGATCCACAAATTACATCAGGCGGTAACGTTATTAGCGGGCGTTGCGTTAAAAATTAACTCGCGCATATCGTAACCATGATAAGGTACGCGTAAATACTGCATGACGCTATTCGGTTTTCCGATATCTCTCTAATAACTGTGCCGGTCAGCCGCTGTGCACAATTTTAGAAGCCATAAGTGGGCGTGGTATGTGCGCAAACTAGTAACCTAACCAGTGCCCGATTGCGCAAATTGGAACCACGAAAAACAATAAAGAAAAACAAAGTTTATAATCTGTGGTCGTATGATCGAGAAAAGTCGTTTAGTTGGCTTGGAAATGACGATTATTATTATATACTGTACCCAAAATCCGTAAATCGACGGATTAATCAGTAGTTCTGGCAACAATGTTTCCGGCAACCACCCACTCTGTCGACTGAAAGCAGAACTACTGTCCAGTATTCCTTATCCGCTGCGCTGTAAATGACTATCAGCGCGCAGCGGCGCAGGGCTAAACTAAATCTCGGACCTCGGACAGACTGACGGTAACGCGAGCTACATCTCGGACAGGTTATGTGCCACGAAATCGCCCATAACGTTGCTTGTCCGTCTTCTTATTTCTTCAATCAACGATTATTGTAATCGCAAAACATTTTCCGATACACGTCATCAATCATATCGACATTGACACTAAAGTCTATAAACCTGACTAAATAAAATTTTGGCAAAAATGTTTAAATTTATCGTATAATTTAAGATACCGAGCAGCTCTTCATTTTGCTTTATAGAGTAAATGATTGTAACAGATATTTTATTTAGGTTAAAGCTGCAAAAATTAGTTTAAACCGAATTTTATTATCGCTATGTTGGTCACATTGCGCCGTGTTCAGCAATGTTGTCCTTTATTATTTGACAATTATCCTAGTGTCAGTCATAATTTTGTATAATATCGTGTTGTTGTTGAATTTTTGTGAGTAATTCTCGTTTTTTTGCCTATTTTCATAGTTTTTCATTTTCGAGTTTTTGTATTGCATTTCTTGAAATTGTGTGTTAAAAATATGCCGAAGCATTTAAACAGTCGAAGCAAAGGGTTTCTAGTTTACCTGTTTTTTTAACTATTTTGAACGAGAACGTGACAATAAAGGTCTTTTATTACCCTTGACTGCAGTCAGAAAAGTAGGTTTGATTGATAAGCACATCATACCACTTTCAAAGTTGGTTTTTATAAAATTCTGTGATTATTAGTTTGTGCATTAATAGCACCAACTTACTTGTTATTACCACTTATAGCGTTGTAAGATGTACGTCAATAAATAAATAACCCATATATAATAACGCTTATAATAATCTTCATAATGGACTCGTTTTTGCCAATAAGTAAAATAAGCTATAAAACAAATAAATCAATTAATCACTAAAATATTAGTTATTAAATTAAAAATAAAACGTAAAACTCTTTAAAAAAATATATAATAAACATGTTGTTTGTTAATTTTAAATTAAGATTCATCTCATAAATCCATCACAATCTGGCAGCGCTGTCGCCATCGCTTGTCACTCAAAGTTGATTACGTGTATCGGAAATTGTTTTGCGATTACCATATATTATAATCTTACTTATATTCGGGCCTATTGATAATAAATTTGTGCAAGTTTCTTCCAGCATATTGGGCTGTCTTGGCGCCTCCATGTCCATCGTACACCCCAAAAAACGCCGTTCCGGGATCGTCCGGCAACGAGAGAATATGCGTGTGCGCATCCTCCATCTTGATACGCCATCCTTGCATCGCGCTACTGGCTACCTCGTACAGGTCATTTTTCACAAAAGCCGTTTCTTTGGCTGTGATCGGTTCCGAAAGTGTTTGTCCCATTATTATTGATAAATTCCTATAAAATATACAGGGTTGTTCAAGCTATTCGACACAGAGTATTGTAGCCAAACGATTAGAATTTTAGAAATTATGAATGATGAGGTCGTTGGAGGACTATTAATGCAACAATTTAAAATTATTTTCAAAAGGTTTTCAAAAGCATGTTTCAAATATGCCCTGAAAAATAAAGCATTAAGCTTCATTTAGTGATGTGTCGGTATTTGAGTAACGCGATTTTGGAGCGGTATTTTTTTGTAACGTCGTGTCGCGCTCCACAACGAATCAGGGACCTGTTACTGAAGAACGACGACAAAATTATAAATTATTTATAATTTGCAAATAAATTATTTATAATCGCACTTGAAGCTCGAACCGTAATAACCGCATAGCGACGTGTTTAGCTCCAGCCGTCGCGATTTCGTCGGTCGCCAACAGTAGTATCTGGAACGGTATGTCCGTAGCGCCACGCGATCTCGATCGGGACGTGTTCGCTCCAGCCGTCGCGCTCCTAGAGTTTTAGTTCCCTGTCGCGAACAGAAGTAACTGCTGTAACTGATTAACGACGCTCGACCTCGGCGGTCACGTACTTCGTTCCAGCAGTCGCTGGAGCGCTTCTAGGGTTTCGGTTTTGCCTGTCGCGATTTGGTCGGTTACTATTGGCCTTGGTGCTCCCGTCGCTACGTTACTTTCGAAATAGCGATTTTTGGTATGGTATAAAATAGTGTCGTTTGAAAGATGAAACGCAAAAGCAAAAATTGTTTATATCTATTTTTAAGGTTAGGTTAGACCAATAAACAATTTTTTTTGACAGTGGTTTGGACTTTGTTCTTGATTTTAACATTAAATATATTATATTGCAATACACATAAATATGAGCCGTTCATTTTATTTAAACGAAAATTGATAAAGAAAAAAATAACAAGGAATGTCATTGATTTTCTAAAAATGAGATAGATTTGCTATACACAATTATAAACTCGATATTTGGAGAATGAGTGGCGGATAAAAGTTACATTAATCAACAAATCATCTACAAATCTAGATAAGTTAGATATATTTTCAGCGAGGACAGCAACAGTTTGGAAGTCGGAACCTCGGTTACAAAATCGCGGTATTTTTCTGGAACGGTCGCTATTGTAACGTGACTCACGTGGAACCGGTATTCCCATCACTAGCTCCAATTAGCGTAGAAGTTTTTTCCTTATTTCAATGTAAACATTCAGAACGTAAAAATTAGTGGTAGTAATTTTCAGTTAATAGAAAAAGTTAACAAACTTTTAACTTCTATCACTAATTATGCTTCAAATTTTGCGAGGAATGTCATTTTGACCTTTGATTATTATCCGGCAAGAGAAAATGTGTTTAGAAATGAAAAATTTATTGTTTTATAAGCTGAATATTAGGCACTCTCTATGGATACAACTGACTACCTATTGCTAGGATATTCTATTAATTTTATCTGTGCTTTTAAGACAATGTGAATGATCGTAAACTAAAAAGTATAAAGTTCAGAATCTCGCAATTAGTGGAATAAATTAGTGGTTTCAATTACACTTTATACTTTTTAGTTTACGATCATTCACAATGTCTAAAAAACACAATTAAAATTAATAGAATATCCTAGCAACATCTTCCAGTAGTCAGTTGTATCCATAGAGAAAGCCTAATATTTAGCTTATAAAACACAAAATTTTGATGTCTAACCAAATTTTGTCTTGACGGATGATAATCAAAGGCCAAAATGACATTCGTCGCAAATGTTTGAAGTATAATTAGTGGAAAAATTAAAAGTTGGTAATTTTTTCCACTAACTGAAAATTCCTACCACTAATTTTGACGTTCTGAATGCTTAAATTCAATTTGCATTAAATTTTATTATTTAAATTCAATTGAAACCACTAATTTATTCTACTAATTGCGAGGTTCTGAATAAAGCTTTAAAATTGTTACCGCATTTTCATAAAATCGGAAATATTTCAAAAACAGTAAAATTAAAGTGCGGTAAAGCTTAATCAAATTTGCATTTATTTTAATCGTAGAAACTAAAAATATACAGGTTGTTCCATATAAAAAAATGCAACCTTGATATTTTTTATTTATTTGGAACACTATGTACCTTTTGGAAATAATTTTAAATTGTAGCCTTGGCAGACCAGGCAATAATTTCCAAAAATCTATTGGATACTCCGGGTCGAATAGCGTGAACAACCCTGTAGTTTAGACATATTTAAAAATAACGGTAATTTAGGGAAAAAGTTTGAAATTACAGTAGAACTTCGATAATTCGGACACATAACGGAACAGCTACCAGCGCATTATTGAGGTATCCGAATTACAGGGGGAATATTTTTAATATGTTATTGTTTCCAACCCAAACTCTATGAAAGGAATTGCAAAAATGCTGACACAATATTGGAGTATGATGAATTTACTATAAAACACATTTAAACAAACAGCAATACAGTTCTACCAAATAAACTTTTAGTCACGTCATTAAGCTTGCGATTTTTAAATTCATTGTTGCCAACCATGGACATATTCGGCGCCGTGCTTACTAATTGGAATTTAAATTTCGCGCTGGTGATTCAGTTGGTAGCTCTGCTGTAAGTTGCCACATTTATTTATTTCCTGACATTTGCTGTCCTCCATTCGCGAATTTCCAGTTCCAGAGCTTTACGCCCTGGGCTGCTCAGAACGGTTCTGAAAGGAAGCTGTGCGCGATAGCCTGGTGCCTCCATATGGCCAAAACAGTTCTGAACTTTATAGCTTACTTCGGGTTTCTCTTATTACCGATTCTGAACCGTCCTAGAACTGTGATGCGTAGGAAAGGGCATAAGAAAATATGAAGACATTATTTCATTTGCGCATGCGCTGCAGAGTTCTAGGACGGTTCAGAATCGGTAATAACGAGAACCCAAACAAAGCTTATGACTCAATTGAATGGAGGAAGAGTATCGCGTTCTTGAACAGTTCAGAGCTGCTCAACTGCGTGAAAGGAGGACAGCAATTTTCATTCGTTTTGACAGTTTATTTTTCTATTACGATTTTTTGGTTTAAATGAATTCTGTTGCAATATTTTTACTAGCAGGCCTTGCAGTCGAACATTGTTTTTTTAGAAAATCTTTTAGTGCGAAGTGTATTACACAAGATAGCTTAATAGCCGTAAAAAACTCATCGCAACTTTATTAGAATATTTTGAACGAGAAAGCGGTGGTAATGGCACTTTATGTCCGTTAAGTGCTGTTAAAGATGTGAGTTTTGTTGATGTAAATAATAACTGTTTATATACAGGGTGCGTCTCAAAAGTGGCTCACCCCTATAACTTTTTTATTTTTTTAGATAAAAAAACGAGATTTGGTATGTTAGTATAAGACATAAATTAGGATCGATTGACGTATCCAATTATTTATCGTCACTTCTTCTTTCACCGGAAATGACAACAACTTTCGATTTTTAAATGGCACCATCGGTATTTTTTTACTCTATTTGATAGAAAATGACACTGTGAATAGAATGACATATCACATGTTTTCGCTTAAAAACAAATCGTATTTTAAATTTTAATCTAGAGTGCCATGGCTTGTTTAAAACACTAATTTTTAATCAAGGAGCCTTGGAAAAATAGATTTGATCGTCTAATGTTTTTCGTGTCTTGTCCTGGCCGGTTAAAAATGCCCAAATCGTAATTTTAATCATATCTGAATTTTTTCAAAAAATGGAATAATGCTGGCTCATTAACATATTTGTAAAAAGTTTTTTTTTCGAATAATTTGATACTACACACTTAGTATTTTGAGTGAAATTGTCGCTATGAACCGCATGTTACAATTGCAAATAATATAAGCCATATGCGAAAATGTCAAAAGTTGACATATGATATGTCATTCTATTCGAAATGTCATTTTCTATCGAATACAGTAAAAATATACCGAGGGTGCCATTTAAAAATCAAAAGTTGTAGTCATTTCCGGTGAAACAGGAAGTGACCAAAAACAATTCAATACGCCAAACAATCCTGATTTATGTCATAGACTAACACACCAAATCTCGCTTTTTTATCTGAAAAAATTACAAAGATATAGGGGCTATAGAGAGCCACTTTTGAGACTCACCCGGTATTTATAATTAATTTATTTTTGTTTCCTAAAATATTTGGATTAAAAGAAAATATGTAAAAGTGGGCAACGCTGTGCCGGTCAAGCTTAATCAGGTCACTAAAAGTTTATTTGGGTTCTAGTAAACTTTAGGTACCTCGGAATTTCACACTTTCTTTGTTTTCTTAGAAAGATTACTGTAAATAGAGCATATTAAGACAAAACATTTGTTGGATCATACAGTTTTTTTCATATACGTATTACTTTTTACAAATATACTCAGCCTAATCTCCAAAAAGTGAAGCCCAAACAGTGAAAGAACAATATGGAATTCTGCATAAGTCTATTTCACCCGGATATTCATTTAACTGAGCATGCCTCACCTGAAGAAGTTTTCATTGGTCGATGTTTTTAAAGGGAAGTGGTTGACTGACATTTCCCCTAACCTTCAATTTTATTTATATTTTTATTATTTATAACACATTATCATGGAGTTGGAAAAATATCAAAAAATAGTTGGAAACAATAAACTAAACAAAATCACTCTTTTACTAATCACTAATTTTCTAATCGCAGTTCAATCCATATCCGGGTGAAATAGACTTATGCAGTTTTAATATGGAGCTGGGTTATGTTGTATTTTTCTTACGGCACAGAAATTGCACACGAGGTTAAATAGGGAACCCTGAGTATATTTGTAAAAAGTAATACGTATATGGTTTTTTTAGCATTTGGGTTGTTTTGGTTAGCTTTTCTTTGTGGAGGGTGTTAAGCTGTGGTTTTATTTTAATAATTAACTGTGATTTTGCAACAGTATTATTAGATTGGTTAAGATTTGGGTTGCTTTGGTTAGCTTTTCTTTGTGGAGGGTGTTAAGCTGTGGTTTTTATATTTTAATAATTTACTGTGATAAGATTGGTTAGCATTTTAGACTCTTTTAAATGAATTTTTTTGGTTCAAAAGTGCTTCATCCAAGGATTTTTTTCTTTTAAACTATTCTATAGCAATAGAGCTTTTGACTAAAAAAATAAAAATTGCGAAATTCTGAGGTACTTAATGTTTACCAGACCCGTTTATTTGATATGAACTTTACTTACTACAATATCCACAATAAGTAAATATGAAATTGATATTTAATTGGAAAGTGGAAAGAAGATATCGATGTTGCTGCCTCAACATTTTTATCTTTTAGTCCTTTCAAAAGTCAAACATTTTGCGTAGAAGCATCGTCTTCTTCGGCCCAGTAAATGCTTTGTGATAAGGATTTTACAGCATTGCTAAGTTCTATTTTCAACACAACATTGTCATCCTCTTTTGTTCTCTTTGTTTCCAATGCCTCGTTGTTAGGTTTTCCTCTTCAATTTGTCTCTGGCTTACTCTCAATCAAACCAGAGACAACTTCTTTTTCTTCTTAAGTTAATCTACATTTTTTTTTCATTTCGTACATGGTCCTTGATATGATTTTACCACAAAACTCCTTGTTATTTCTGATTTTTTTTATATCTGACATATTGAATTTCGGAACAGTAAATGGATCAGAAGTTATTCTCCTTCCTTCCTTGTCAATGCAATCCAATGTCTTGCATTTTTTAAACAAGAGTCGTTTAGTTGGCCCTATTTTTAAGCGACATAAGACACTCCTGTACAAAGAAAAGACTACATACAAGATTGTCCGGTTGATAAGAGACGAACTGCTGGAGTATCCGATTTGGCGCCGTGTCCGAATTAGAGAAGCTCTACTGAATGTTATAGACCCGAAAAGCAACCTGCTGCCGTTCTTGTATAGAAATTTGGAAAACTTTACATTCAAGAAATAGAAAGGAAATGATTTAAATTTGTTCATTATCTAAAAAGTTGACTTAAAATGTTATTATGACAGGGTAAAATTACGACAATGTCACTGACAATTTTTTTTACAACACAGAAAAATTCATTGTACAGGGTGGGTCAAATTGGACGCTTTTAAGGGAAACACCCTTTTCTATCTGGAGTTTTAATCTAAAATGTCAGTATTCCATGGGTATATTGATAAATGAGTTCTAAATTACAAGAAAATGTATTTTCCACGGAAACTTGAAGAGATAGGTAAAAAATGGTATAATACAATTTGATAGACAATTAAATTGTGCATCTGATTCTCATAAAATATACAAAGGGTTCCATTTAAATTAAACAAGTTATTGCCGTTTAAAGCTAGTAATTATTTAAAATAAATTTTTAGACACTCTGTATATGGTAGTATAATTTTTATTATTGCAACACAATAACTGATCAATAAATAAACTTCAGTAAATATTTAGTATTAAAAACTTTGATACCCTTGGAGAAATGAAGCCTTAAAAATTTTACTGCAATTTCACAACAAATTTACCTTTATTTTAATCGTAGAAACTAAAGAAGTAATAATATACAGGGTGTTCCATTTAAAAAAATACAACTTTGATATTTTTTATTTATTTGGGACAGTCTGTATCTTCTAAAAATATTTTTAAATTGTAGCTCTAATAGTGCTTCAACGAACCCAAAACTTACAATTTCTAAAAATCTAATCGTTTAGCTACAATACTCCGTGTCGTATGTGGTGAACAACCCTGTATAATGCAATAAAAGTGAATAATAAAATTAGATTAAATAAATAATTCATTAATTTATTTAATCAATAATTAATGAATGATTTATTTAATCAATAATAATTAATGAATTATTTATTTAATCTAATTTAATTATCTCATCAAGGAGATTGAAACTGACAAAATACCAAGCTACAATTTTTAAATCGGCATAAAACGGCTAACACAATTTTGATAACAAAATTTTTTTGAAAAAAAAAGTCAGTGGCGCACATTTTTCAGTGATAACCCATATGCACGTCCGTGGTGAATCTGTCGACACTTTTTTAGCATTACAATATGTAGCACTTATAGTAACTTTTACCCTCAAAATTTCATTCGAATCTCTAAAAGCACTTAAAAATTATAACAAATTGAAAATAAATAAAGACTTTAACACCCTGTAGTTACAAAACACAGCAGAATCGGACCTATGTTTATATCAAAAATAAATTTTATTTCTATGTGAGGAATCTACCCACGAAAAATGGCACGTTTTTGAAAAGGCCCTGTATAAAAACAACAACCACCAAGTTAATAGTATATTGTTTGGTAAGTGTGCACTAATCAGTAGTAGGTACTTTGAAACTGTACTTCGACACTTGGAAATTATCAGATAAATAACATAACACAAAGATTTTTGTAGTGTTTCTTGGTTAGTGAATAATATTAAAAAGATAACATATGTATATCTCTCCAATCCAAACAAATTTACTCACATGAACTAAAGCTTTCGAATGGTATTTTAGGAAAAGTTATTCTGTTATTTATATTATTAATCTCTTACAGAATAAATATTAAAAAAGGTTATAAATAGTTCCTAATGCATAATATTGCCGAAGTTTCCTGACAATTGCCACAGCAAAAGTATAATTATTCAGATATAGTAAATTGCTCATCCAACATTTTTTTGTTGAATTGTGATTCATAATTTGCCTAATTAAAACTGCTGCAATAGCCAGGTTTTACTAACAACACACAAATCGGGCTTACGTGCAAAATATAGCTGTCTCATATCTAAAAACTATAACAAATAAATAGTAAAAATCTTGAAAATACTCTTACTCCTCATCAATCAAAGTTAGGGTACTATATTTAACCAGCTCGCCTACATCATCGTCATCTGACATATTTACCTACGCAAAAGAAATGTATCCAGTTTTGTTTATTGCACTTACCAGCAACTTTTTGACAATAGTAAAACAATACACCAACTAATAATCAAAAAATCGTTTTCTTTACAAGCATTTACTTTTCCATCACAAAATCAGTTGACAGACAAAAGAAGAATGTGAGGTTAAAGGATTTAGCCAGTGTATTTCTGGTTGCCTGACCAATAACGAAGACCACCACAATAACTTAAATCAAAAATTTAAATAATTATTTTATTCCAGGATTATTTATTATGCGATAAATATAAATATCTACTGGGGGCACGAAAGTGATTATTATATTAGTATTAAAGCGTAATAATTATAAAGTTAATGGTTAATAGATAGGAAATAAAACAAGTTGATTTTAATATGTGCTTTGGAATTTATTTTATTATTCATTTATTTATTAAGAAAAACGTTTACAGAGTAAAATTATATATTTGAAAAAGTAATAGAAGGTGTAAATAATATATTCCCTTATCAGCTATAAATTAAAATAGCTATAGATCTGGATAATTTCAAATTTAAAACCTACCTATCTATTTATAAATACTAAAAACTATTTTGTGCAAAAAATATTGCAAAAAAAGGATAATTTAGCAAAAAATAAGCTTATATCTGTCCCTTTTCCTTGCTGAAGAAAATAAACCAACGAAAGAGCGAGAAGCATATCAGAATCAGGTAATGCGAGAAATGGTGGGAGTTAGTTCACCTGAGCAGCAGAATGAATAACAAAGTTTTTCAGTTTGGTTTTTGGATTGTTCGTGTATTCAACGTAACTTTGTGAAGTTAAATCTCCCTTTTTTGTTCTCTGTTTTGTGTTTTTGGTGTTCATTTATTAATTTCGAAAAAGTACGATACTGTGTGCCATTCGATATCGAATTTTTATGGATTTTTAGTGAACTTTTCAGTAAACTTTTGGATTGTTTGCTTAAATAGACGAACTTACATTGGATGTTTTTATAAATTTGTTTAACATGTAAGTAATGTGTTAATTTATTTATATTTATTTTTATCTTATATTTTTCCAGTTTTGATAAAAAAGTAAATTAATATCGAGATTTACAAAAACAAAACATTCCTTTTTTTGCGTTTTTCGCACATTCCAATGTAGTTTTTTATTTATTAAAACGAATATTTTAACAATCAATTCACAAATCATCGAAATTGAAAAATATTCTATAAATGGTTGTGATTTTTTAATGCGATAGCTGTTTAATACCCAGTTATAAATAACAGGTTTTAAATTTGTTGTTTACTTTTGAATTTAAACATCATATTGGGTATTTATAAACTTTAATACACAGGTCACATGCTCGAAATTATATAGTTTAAATTTTTATTTGATTACTATCGTCATTTATGCATCATAGTGTTTTTTTATTAGATAATAAGTAGATATATAATTAAATTATTAGTTTACATAATTGCTGATAAAATAAATTATGAATATTAATATCATGTTTTAAATCAATATCTTACTAAGTATAAAATTATACTATTATTTTTTTGTCCCTATACCTACTATACCATATTATTAAATAAAAACGACGTCAAGTGGGCGTATAAATATAATATTTTATTTGGAGCCGCTCAATTTGGTATGATCGAAAAATAAAACTGTCTAGTTGTTTTAGAAATAACCATGGGTGACAATACGCCATAATATAATTTTGCATATAAAATGTCGTCTTTCATCACACAATACAGGGTGTTTTATTTGAAATATTGGAGAAAAATGCAACATAATAAAGTTTTGACTCACCTAGTATATTGTATAAAATATATTATATTTTATACAGTATACAGGGTGAGTTTTTAAATAAGTGCAAATATTTTTAGTGGTAGTATATTTCGACACACGTCTGTGAGGTTTTTTCGAAAAAAAAATGGAATTTTTTGAAAAATATTTAATTTTTTTAAATTTTTAATTAAAAAACATATCTTCACAATATGTCAACATAGGTAGTAGATTAAATTAGCAAGAAAGAAAATCCAAAAAAGATCCAACGGTTCTCAAAATTTAAGCGAAAAATCAATTTTTTTGAATTTGTCCAAACCAAACCAAAGCAAAATATTTCCGTCATTTTGGACTTTGAAAAACGGTAAAGAGAAAATATATTTTTTTCTATTGAGATCGACCAGCCCTGAAGATATTTGCAATTATATAAGACTCACCCTGTATTTTTATGAAAAAGATTGGACTGAGAATCTCAAACAATCATAGAAACTTGATATAGAGTTTTTTCGAATCACCCTGTATGACCCTGTACTATTATCCTTGTTTATATATCTATTATTTAAACTTTTATAATTACTATATTATAGTTATTTAGGTATCAAAGGAATTGTAAAGGCGTTAATTACAGAGAACATTCCCATAGTACATAGAAAATTTTATTTCTCACTCTGAATTTAGTATACAGGGTGGTCCGAACTGTATTCCGGAAACTTCGGCAGCATATTCTGCAGATAAAAATAAGTAAAAAAGTTCCTATAAATGTATGTCCTCAAATGCTTAGTTTTGGAGATACAGGGGTGTAGAAGTTTCATTTTTATCTCGATTTTTTCCAAATAATTTCTGCAGTAACGTCAATATTGGGATGAAAATTGGTGTCTGGAAGTTTTTTGATATGAGAATTGGCCCATGCCCACTGACTTGAGTTCTACGCTAGAGGTGAGTAGTTCGTGAACGAACTAGTTCCAATGAACTATTCCGACCCCGGAATGAAAGGAACTAGTTCCTGGTTTCTCAAAGGAATAGTTCCTCAGGACCTATTCCGGGATCGAGACTGTGTCCGATATAGAATAATATGCGACGGCGACGGATCAGCTAGCGCGCGTAGCCCGATGGTAGGCAGGAGTGGGGAGTGCCAGACGTACGTTATCGGATCTGGACCTAGAGGAACTAAACCATAGAGAAATATAAAATAAAAGAGTTGTCATTTCCATAGTCAAAAGTAGGCAACACGTTTAACGAGGATCGATTGTAGCGCACCCTTGAGCCCTAACTGAACTAATCGAAATATGACAGACGTTATCGGTAAAATAGGTATCTGCATTGCCTACCACAAAAAAGGCGGGCTGTTTAAATGTAAATATAAAATTTTATGTATTTTTAAAAATATTACGAAATTAAAACTGCAAAAAATATAATGAAAGTTTATTTTTAAAAACGGAATATTTGAAAAGTATAAACTATTGTACACTTTTCAAATGCTTACAGTTAAATGCTAAATTAAATTTGATAATATAAAACATATATGCTGAATTAACTTCGAGGGGTAAACTCCTGATGAATTTCTGTACACTAATGCCAAAGTAATGCCAAATAATTTAGTACTAATACCAATAATGCAAATCTTGTACACCACCAAAATACACCAGCGGTTTACCCTTCGATTTACCTATAGTATTATAAAACGTATTTAACAACGCCACTAACAAAGCATATAAGATCGCAGGGTTTGCAATCTATGCTATTATAACAGATAAAGATTTAAATAAGACATCAAAAATTAATTCACCTTTAAGTTGAATTTATAAACTCAGCAGTCAGCAGTTGAAGTTCAGTTGAGGTAGCAAATGTTCAACACTATTAAATGAAGGCGCAAATTTATAGTCAGTTCGTTTTACGTTCACAGAGTTCAGAGATGGGCAATGTCTTTACATATCGAACTTGCTTTGCATGATACCCTTTCCTGGATCGTGTTCAAATCACATCATCGGCTGAACAAAATATTACATGATGATGGCAAAACACAGCACAAAATATAAAGTTCAAATCATAGAGAAATATAAGGTCTCTGGTTCCTCGGGAAATAAAACTTCGTCCATAATTTCGTACGCACAAACACAAAACAAACAAACAAAGTTTATGCTACACAAAATAATAACAAATTCCAAAATTCAAAACAAAATTGTAAACAATCGCAAAATACAAATAATTTGCTGTCATGTCACTTGTCATTCTTATAATGACACGTGACAGGTAGCAGGTGGCGACGCTTTGGAGCCCTAACTGAACTATGCAACATTATGGCCAAGTTAGACAACCTTTCAAACACTCTTTTATTTTAGTTACTTTATGAACTAAACTAAATAAAAGACAAGTTTACGTACGAACGGATCGGGCCAGCGCGATCGATGCTAGGCAGGAGCGGGGAGTGCCAGCCTTATGCCGTATGTAATCGGATCTAAACTGGAAAGGAACTAGAGAAACTATGTAACTAAATCGGAAAGAAACTAGAGGAACTAAATAAAAGACTAGTTTACGTATGGATCAGGCAGCGCGATTGATGCTAGGCAGGCGTGGGAAGTGCGAACCGTATGTTATCGGATCCGGACAGAGGAACTATTAAAAGACTAGTTCACGGGAATCTATTCAGTCGGCAGATCCGAGATATAATACAAGGCGACGACGATGGATTCGGCCTTGTCTATTGCCGCAGCCGGCGCGGCGTAATTACCACACAAATTTGTCGCGGATACTGTTTTTGATTTTTAGTTTGTTTTTTAAATATTTTATGGGAATGTTTCACTTTAGGTCCCTAAAATTAAGAAATATCTTATAAAACGAAGTAGATATTCTGAATTTTTAGACAAAAACAATCAGCTTGAAGTGAGGAAAAATGCAATTTTTCGTAAAATTTTTGTAATATTTGCTCCAATTGATTTGTGATATATTTTTTTAAATTCTGATATGAGTTTTTTTTTTAATTTTTTTTATCTGCTATAAAACTTACCTATATGTTTTTAACATACACAATTACACGTCTCGTTATATCTCCGTACATTATAAAAATTATACAGATCATACTGTGAATAGTTCTGACTGACAACGAAACGCATTAGCAAGCAAGGGGGATGTCAATGTTAGTCGGGAACCATTGTGAACTAAAGACCTAGTTCAAGGAACTATTCCTCTGGAGGAACTAGAACTAAGGAACTAGTTCCTCCCAAGGAACTAGAATTCCCACCTCTATTCTACGCACGGGTTGTAGCAGATGTTCAGAGGCGGATACAGGAATTTATTTTAGGGGGGGCCCAAAATGAAAAGCAATGTAGAATATGCTTTTTAGGGCGCCATTTTTAACCCAAAAGCCTAATATTTTACACAATTCACAGACTTCGTCCATACCTGTATAAAACTATGGAGTGAAAAAATATACATTTCCATGACTTTTTGCGTAAAAAATGTCTCTTGGTAAAAATCGCTACGAGCAACCGTTCTTAAGATATTTAGAATGAAAATAGTCAATACATGACATTATTGACAGAAAATAAACGCGTTGAGCAGATAATTACTTGACTGAAATGATAAATTAGGGAAATTTTAATTTTTTTAAATTAAAACTTTTCTGCAAAAAAATGATGATAAAACAGTTTCTGTTGAACTTTTGTCACAACAACTTTCAAATTTATGATCTCAGTCTAATAACTATTTAGTCAACATGTTTAATTTATGTCAATGATGACAGGTACATATTGATAACTTCGATTCCAAATATCTGGCGAACCATTACTCGTAGCGATTTTTACCAAGAGACCTTTTTTACGGAAAACATATCGTAAATGTACATTTTTTACCTTAGTAGTTTTATACAGGTACGGACGAAAAGTTATTACTCTTAAAACCAGTTAAAAATATGTAGGTGGCGCCCTCTACAAGTAGTAGTCATATTGGCATCAAAATCAAAGTTCTCAAGTCAAAAAACTCCCAGACACCAATTTTAATCCAAATATTGACGTTACTTCAGAAATTATTTGGAAAAAAGAAAATAAATATGAAATTTCTACACCCTGTATCCCCGAAATTAAGCATTTTAGGACATACAATTATACGAACTTTTTTACTGATTTTTATGTGCAGAATATGCTGCCGAAGTTTCCGGAATACAGTTCGGACCACCCTGTATATTAACTCAGTAAGATATAAAATCATATAAATCCTAACGTGAAATTTCTTCCTGGAAATAC